GCGAGTTGATGAGGGAATGTATGATTTTGAAAACGATAGGCGACACTAAAGACCATTTTATCCCTTACAACCCCACGTGAACACGAGGGCGATTTCTCTTTTACCTCTGTTTCAAGCTAATCATAATAAATAGAAGACAAAATGTCGAGTGATATACTTTTTGCCGTATGAGTATACGTTGTCCAGCGTGCACCACATGGAGGTAAGTCTATTGCTCACCCCTGATGAGGGAATATATGATTTTGAAAACGAGAGACGACACTAAAGATTATTTTATGCCTTACAGCCCCACATGAACACGGTTCGAATATTTCAAGTTCTCACACTTCTTAGTCTTAAGGGGAATAATTCTGAATCCACTAGTATCTGTGTTGGCCTCCTCTGATGTGATACGAATTCTGATTGAAATCCAACCGCTTTCATAATCTTCCTCACAGGGTGCTGAACGAGGGTCGAATTCAATTATATAAAATACTCAGATTACCATAGAGTTTGAGCTCATCGCGTTACGATCGTCATCCCTGCAAATCCCAGTTCCCAAAAGAGCACAAGGAATTGGAGAAATAAGAGGATAAAGTAAGTCCTGTTCAAAGAATCCTGCACCCTGAATGTGGTGACGGCAAGTAGTGACAGGTGCACTGAAGCCAACCAGTAGAGCTTTTGAAATGTTAAATTACCACAGCGAATGACAATGTGGGTGGGGGGTTGAGACAGCAAATCGGCCGAGATCAATAATAAGAACATGGACAATAGTAATAAGCGGATTTAGGATTCGTAAGGGAATGGTTCTTGGCCGAGAATAGTCAAAGGCTAGGACGATGTGAGGTACCTATGAACCCAACTAAAAGTCAAAAAAGACAACGCTGTTCACCCATTTATCAATTAGAGAATCCACCCCCACCCCCCTCCACTCTGTACACAAAGTTCACAGATAGGACTTTACTTTGCGATTATACTGGCAACAACAACATTAATGAGTAATCGACACGGATTGATGACAACCAATGCGTCCAATATAATGAACAAATTAGAGTGTTCGTGAGAGGTTAGGTAATTCTAAAGAATACAGCCAATCTTGGAGATCAACTTTGGTACTTGCGGGGTACCTGCATTTTTGTCTACAAATTTTTGGCATTATTCCTATGTGCTCACCCAAAGTACTCCCTTCCCACAAAAGTCACAAACATTAGCCTTCCCGTAGAAACGGCATTTCTCACTTCCATTCAGCAAACAACAGCGAATTAGCTCCTGTCAAGCACCACTCCGTCCGTTTCCACTAAGGCGTCCCCCACCCCCAAATTATTACAGCACTACAATCGCATACACCACCAATGAGATCCCAGCGTTACTCGTCAAGATAGCCAGATGCTTGTGATGATGGTCGGCAGTTATATATTTCAGTGAGAAAAGGATGAAGTCGCATTAGCGAGACAAATTACATATTTGCCGAGAATGGAGTAAACGGAATGAGCAGGAAGAAGTAACCAAGATAAAAAAAGAATTCACAAGACAGACCAACAAGACCCCATCGCAAACAACATCAGTACTGACTCCCATTTAAATGTGTGCAAGGAATGATTAGGAATTAGTAGTGGAGGGAAGCGATGCTCTTTCGTGGACGCA